ATCGCATCCATTAGATATTTCCACACTTAATAACTCTTATGTCTATACTCTGATAAATGTTTTGAATCAAATGGTTTTATTTAGATCTTAAAATTTTGGCTTGAAATTTGGGACGTTAGAACCTGAAAGACGTACATAAAAAAATCAGTAAGCTACAACGAGCTTAGTGAGTAACCTTTACAATAATTTATAAAGTAGTTTCACAACTAAATACATATAATTAATGTCTTACAATCAACCAACATATACTCGATCTGAGTGTTAGTATATAATTATCCAATAATCAGATTTACAGCTTTCTAAGTTATTGTTCCAACCATTAACTATCCATAGTAGGCTTACAGCCATGAAAGCTACTATCAATTCCACATAATCCTTTCTCAGTAGTTTCCATACTATACAAAGTACCAATTTATCCAATCAATATCTCACTTTCTGGTATTACAACCATTCAATTTTTCACTACAATACATTCTTTCATAAGTATAGTATTCTAGCCATGCAGGGCTACTATGAACTTACAATGCCAACATACAAGTATTTACACATTCTCATAACCTTGTGGTGTTACAGTCACCAAGACTACCACAGATAACAAATGCCAATACAGTCATGTTACAGTCACCAATACCACCATATTGACTTATTCTAATATAGTGAAGTTACAATCATCAAGACCACCACTAATAACTCATTCTCAATATTGTGGTGTTACAGTCACAAAGATCACCACTAATACTAATCCATTATATTACAATCACTAAGACTATCATGACTAACATTATGCCTTTATAGTGGTATTTACAACATCAAGCATACCACTACAATCAATACTTGCATCGAAGATAATACAACGATAATTACAACATTAAGCATACCACTAACAACTGATTCCCACACAGTGGTAATTACAACACCAAGAATACCACTAATTCTTTCTAAACAATCTACAAGTATAGTGTTATAAATACTAAGTCTGACATTGACTTTCATTCCTCGAATAATGGTATTACAATAACCCAAACTACCATTAATTCTAGTCATATATAATTACAATACAATATTGTTCTTACTATAACTCCATCAATGATATAGAACCTTATAAAATTGTCCTAGGGCTAACAAAACTACTTTAGTCTAACACATATATGTACAGAAACGATACACCAACATCCTAATATACAATAGACATACAATGTCACTAACCATGCTATCTGTATACATTCCACAATAACACTCTGTTATGTAAATTCGTTGTTACTTGTACCAATAAATGGCTTCACTGATATTCCATTACTCATGACCAATAAAAACTAGATTAATTCTTTAATATGTATGACTTATTTACAATGTAGCTCACCCAACACATTATTTCACATAGAAATAACCTGCTATAGTGTCCAATCATATCAATTCACCACAATTCTCAACCATTCCCAACCTTACAAGTTATAATCCAATAAATTATAATATTGTATTTATTACGAAAATAACACAACGCAATAATAAAAATACATGAAGATAACATATATCTAGTAAATAAGTGTGGTTAGCCACCTGGTTAGTTAGAGAAGACTAACTATCAAGTCTTCAACTCTGCTCTGCTGTAACACCAGTCAAATAGGTCAAATAACAATCACATGTGATTATGCCAATCATGTAATGTGATTTTGTTAAACTAGTAATGTGATAAACTTACTATGTAATTCATGATAAATGCTAATACAAGTATGAACTTTCATACATACTTTATGATACAACTCAAAGTATACGTCCATATGATTACAAAAATATAGAGAACGTCTAAATCTGACTTCGCGTGAAGAAGTTATGATAAACTCTAACACTATAAATCTCTATAACAAGAGGAATTAAAATATACTTAGAGTTATCTATTGGAGTCTAAAATAGAGTTGTAGTACTCGTAAATACCTACGCGTGGATATAAAGAACGTCAAAAATAGAGTTCGTATGCAAAAGTTATGACCTTCCGAAGATACAACTGTCTGAGAGCATGACACGTGTCAGAAACCCTAATCTGACTGAGCTCACGATGTGAGCATAGATACTCACAACGTGAGGAGTCAACCGCTAACCATTTCTAGTTAGATTACATAAAATCATGCTACTAGGGTGAGTTTCACGGCCCCACTTTTAAATGTTTTCAGGGGAAAACGCATGCTAAATATTGTATTTAAGTATAATATTATGTCTACATGATAGTATATTTGTATAAACATAGATAGTTATATTAACTGGGATATAGTTGTTTTGAATCTAATATTTTGAAAACATACAACTATCGTAAACTTGTTAGCATGATATTACACTAATGTAGATCCTGAGTTATACTTGGGAGTTCTATATATATGTTATGTGCGATATAGTTTCGGAGTTATACTTGGAAGTTCTATATACTAATTACTAAGTATGTTGCTATTGTTGGTTTTATGTCAAGATAAATCATGTTATGTTATTAATATAACTGTGAAGGTATATTCAGGAGTTCTATATATACTTGTTAAGTATGTTGCTATTGTTGGTTTTATGTCAAGATAAAACATGGTTTTAACTCAAATTATAGTTGTTGTACTGCCTAAGTATTATAAATATTAGGAGTAATGCTTAAAGCATAGTCTAATTACTTAGGATTTTAGACACGAATATGCTTTCACTATTAGAACTAACGGAACTCGACAAGTCTACATGAGCTACCTTATTCATCAACTAAGATTGGAAATCTTAGGGGAAATCCTCTGACCTGTAACCGTTAATCCCGTGTGAGCAATGAATTCGTGTATGAATAAGATACGGGTTGACAACCCCACCCGTAGTTGTTCGCTACAACCAACATTTGGCGGGTGACGAACTTGCCTAATTTACTCCATTTCGACGTCGATGAAGCGTGCGGAACCAACCGCCGCTCTTCCCTCCCAATAATGTATGACTTGGAGGCTTTCAACTCGACAAACTCTATAATTAATCGAATAAATTAGAGATTACAACATCAAATCCTGAACACCCATATCATTATGTTTGTGGGCTCGAATACCAGATTCCAACTTGTAATGTTTAGCAAAATTAAACCTTGCATACAACCTATCCAAATGATCTCAAACTTCCTTTTTTGTATCATATTTAGCCAATTGGGTGCCAATTAACTATATAGCAAAATTGTTGATCAAAGTGATAATATTCGAATTACAGTTTTCAAAGCATCTAGTAACATCTTGTAATTTTTAACTTTTATATCTGTCGGTACTCATTTTACATAGCCAATTGGGTGCCAATTAACTAAATAGCAAAATTGTTGATCAAAGTGATAATCTTGGAAATACCAGTTTTCTAAGAATCTAGTAACATGGTATAATTTTTAGCTTTTATATCTGTCGGTACTCATTTTACACTAGTGACAATACCCCACATATGTTTTTCCAGCGAGAAAAATTATACATTACATAACTACAATAACCGTATTTATGCTATATAGTTGAGTACCAATGCATTGTAGAGAGTCATCCTTATGATCCATATTGATATTAACCAAAACAAACGAATACTAGTAGCAAATTTGGATAAATTCCAATAATAACCACAACGAACAAATACTAACAATAACCAAAACAAACTAACAACAATCACACGAACGAAGAAAGACTAGCAAAATTATCAGTACATTGGTTCCAAACATGACAATTGGCCTGTTACATCGTCCACAATAACTAACATATCTAAAAAGTGAATACAAATATACCTCTCAAACCAAGAATGTACCAACAACAATATTTTTTCCCGATGACCGACACCAAGACATGAACAATATCAATTCGATGAACAGTGTCAATATGATCAATACGAGCGATGAGTCGATGAACAATGCTAAGCAATGAACAATACCAATTTTTATTGATATTTCAATGAACAATAACAAATCATAACATCAAAAAAGAAAACAATTTAGATCGGATAACGCTATAATACAATGTAAACTAATAACTATTTAGAGAGAAAACAACTAGAGTTTCATTATTGAGTGTAAAGTGTACATAAAAAGAAAAATAAAAAAGACTATAAATATTAATTCCATGTAGGGTTAATTTAACTAAATAGTTAAACAAAATACCCACATAAAACAACCTCATAATAATATATTATGCTAAAAGTTTTAGATATTTATTATAGTCAATATATATATATATATATATATATATATATATATATATATATATATATATATATATAGAGAGAGAGAGAGAGAGAGAGAGAAAGAGAGAGAGAGGTAAGTTCAATTGAGAAAATAAAAAATGTTGAGAATAGAGGAATCATTCTCGGTTAATCATTTATTTTTGCCACAAAAGCATCCAACGTACCGGCAGAAATGGGAAAGGAATACACATGTGTTTTTCAACAAAACATGTTTCCTTAAACTATACTAATCATTACTTTAATATATACAAAAACATAGTTTTTTTCGTTTTTTTATTTTTAAGGAGCTATTTTTATCGAAAACTGATTTTAAATACATCAAAATTCATAATTTTTTATTCTTTATAGACAAAACTGCAAAATTGGTCCTTATGGTTTGCAAAAAACTTTGGATAGGGTCCAAAAAGTTTTTAACTTGCATGGAAGGTCCAAAATCAAAAACTTTATGTGATTTTGGTCCAAAAAAACTTAAAAAGAAGGTTATGCCCTTTTATTTTATTTTTTATAATTATCCTAATACTAATTATTTCAAAAAAAATAAAAAGAATTATCCCCTTACCCCACCCACCCCCACCGTTCTCTATCTCTCTCTCTCTCTCTTAAAGAAAAAGTCAAAAAAACCCCGATCCATCTTCTTCTTCCCCTTCTTAATTAGAAACTGCTTATACAAGAAGCAAATTAAGATGGGAGATTGTGTTTTCTCCATTTTTCTGTCTGGTCCTCGTAGCCCTTCATCACCATTGGAAACCTCCTTATCCTTTCATTTTCTCCATTTTTTCTCTAGCTCTGCTCCTTCATTGACTGCCAAATCTACATAACTGATGAGTATTTCTGGTTTCAGGTGGGTTTCTTGAGTATTTTAGTTTTCTGTCTGGTTTCTGGAGTAATGATTTTATCGGTTTCTGGAGTAATAATCGAAACATCTCTACTTCAACATCACTAGAGATTTCTGGAAGATTGATTTTATCGTTGATTCCCCTCTTTTCTCTCCTGATTCCAATGGTTGGAATGGCGGAATCGAGGTTACCTTTTGAATCAGAGTAGAGAAGACGGGTCTTGTTGCTAGTGATGAAAGTCGACCCAATAACCTTCATTCTCAATTTCGCTAACTTGAAACACCATCTCCTCCTATTCCACTGCTGTGAACCACCATTGATGGAGCCCTAGACTTCGTTTTCACCGTTGATTCATTACCATCACTCAACTGAGTGATTTCATCTGTTCAAGAAAAAAGTTTGAAGAAGTAAGATACAAGCAGGGCGGCGGTGGTAGTGGCTTTAGGGTGGCGGTAGTCGTGGCTTCAGGGCAGTGGCAGTGGCGGTCCTGTGGTGGATTGAGGTCCCTGATGCACACCATTGGAGCTGGAATCACCGATTTGATCTTAGTCAATCTGAGAGAAGAAACTCGAGGTGAAGAAACACGAGGGGAAGAAGCGTGAGGTGAACAGATTGAAAATTCTACACGAAGTGTAGTATTTGCGATGTCGTGTCTCTGATTTGTGGAAGATAAGCAAGATGGGTTGAAGATGAAGGGTGGGGAAGAAGATCTAAATAGAAAAGGTTGTGTGTATGTATGAGAGAGAAAGAGAGGGGGG